TGTGTGTGTATGTGTATGTGTGTGTGTGTATGTGTGTACTTCATGTTTTTCCCCTGTTCCTACTCTATGTTTAAATTTCATTTTTGAAAACGAATGGTACTTTCTTTTGTAATTTTACTCATTTTCGTATTTTGTATTGAATTTAATTTTTTTTTTTTTTTTTTGAAAGCGAATGATTTTAATTAAATTACTTTTTATTATTTTTCTTCATAATTCACTCATCTATCCAATACAATCTGTCTATCGATTCATCAACAATCTGTTCAAACCTTTAATTTATTTCTGTAATAATGAACTGTCTTATCAGGTAGTTTATAGACATTCTTGAGCATTTATCGTATGCAATTGCATATGCCAATAAATGCACTACGCATGAAAGAGTGCATGATCATACTGAATTGCTAACTAACTAACTTATCGATTAAACGGTTTTATCATCTATTATCATCCCGTATTTACTATTATTACCATCATACATTCATCAACCTGAATGCCAACCTTTAATTAATACTACAATTGTTATTCTATTCTAATTTTAAATTTCTCATGCTTTTTTCTAATTTTTTATTCTTTCAAATTCTAGAAAATTTTTTGCTTAAAAATTATTAATTCGATCAATAATTATCAATTGAATATCTCTTACGTCGAAATTTGCATAATTGCTTTTGCATTTTGCATATTTGAAATTTGCATATTTGTAATATAACGTTAACAAAGTGATGAATAGTTTAAAATAATTTTAGAGCAATATTCACATCACAAAACAGTGATAATGCTTTCGAAAAATCATGGCCGAGCATTATGGATTGAAGAATTTGCAGAAGATAGCGTCTATTGTCAGGTGAGTTTAAAATATAGAAGTTGAATTTTTTCTTTAAACGAATCAATTGAATGCTTTTCATGTTAACGTACGTGAATTTTTACAAGTTTCAACGCTTAATCATTTTAAAACAATAATTGATGAAATTAAAAGTTACACTGCGTTATTTTTATTTATCTTCCAACTGAAACGATTACTTCCCAATACTGCTTTGTTATTTATGAGATCTCAAAATTGATGAAATTATCGAGAAATATTTGACTGTTAAGCGTGCGTAGGACAATTTACATCACACATTTGAAAAAGAAAAAAAAAACGTACGTGAAATAAATTTTTTCTGAATTCATTTGCTAGCTCATTTTATTCAATGTTAATTTCAAACTTGTCTCGCTTTTTTTTGGAGACAGCAGCAATCTGAAAAGTCAATTCATTTATTAACTGAATAGTTAATTGAAAAATTTTTATCACTTTAAAGGATTCATGCATGGAAAAATTGGGTTGCTTGAATTGCAAATCGGAAAATCATGAAACGATCGACTGTATTTTACCTTCAGGTTTTGTTTTTAAGCATGGAAATGGTGATTGTCCGAGAAAAATGGGTATGTTCAATAATTTACTCTGAATTACCAATCATTTTTCTTGCAATGTAATATAATTGAATATTTAATTTTGATAAAAAAGTAGATTAAAAATACTTCAAGAAATTCCGCAAAAAAAAAAAAAATTAACCAAAGAAAGAAATTGCTACTGAGTAATAGCATTAGCAATTTAAAAAGACATGGCTAGTTTTTGGTTCAATTGATCTTTCAACAAATCATTTGTAAGGCTGGAGTAATGAAATTGTTTTATACAGTTTCATTCATTTTATTTATTGAATCAAAAAGGAGCTTTCTTAAATTGTGCCAACTTTTTAGTCTAAAAATTTGAAATTCAAAATTTTGAATTTTACAAAAAAAAAAAAACAACTTTTTCACATTTTACAAAAAAAAAAAAAAAATTATCGCAATCATTTACTTTACGAAGATAGCTTACAAATTATGCAAATTAGAAAGAAATCAGTAAATTGATATTTTTTACTTATTCACATATTTATTTACATTTACATGCTTATTTGACTTATTTATGTATGTTATACAGTGCTACTAAAGTTACGCTGCAATACGGTTTCCAATCCACGTCATATGTTACCTTACGACTATCCAATCAAAGGTACCATTTTACACGTGAATCATAAAGAGAGCTGTTTATATGTAAGACCACAAAATTTGGATGAAATATGCAATGCGTTGGATAATTTTTTATTTGAAATTCGACAAACGATATTATGTCCTGCAACACCGAATAAAATTAATATTGGTACCACAATTTTTAGTTTATTTTTTTTCTTTCAAATTTAATCATTATCAATTGTAAATTTCAAATAATTCGATTTATTTTATTAGAATTTTATTTCAAAATATTTT